CAAAATCACATAAAGTCATATTATAATATCGACTGAGATAAAGAATAAAATGAAATATTAAAAACACGATGTATCTCGCTGCATTGCGCGAGTACTCTTCTAGTATATATATATATATATCTTAGTTTACAGATAAGCTTTCCTTGTTTTTTTATTATAGATTTGAAAAATAAAGCGTATCAAATACAAGAATATAGGATGATCAGAATAATAGAAAAAAAAACCTCATAAATCAATTTTGTAATATGTTCGGTAGTGTTTATTTACCATTTTACCGGTAGAAAAGGATTGTGTTAGATTTTCTTGTAAATTTTAATCTATACTTATATTATAAAGTGTTTGACTAAAACTTTTAAAACTCATTTTTATGTATTTAAGTATTATGTGTTAATGCATATTACTTAAAATTTAAGATTACAAGTAAATTGTGAATAAATAAAACTTATTCTGAATATTTTCAACAAAATTCTAAATTGCGTTCAAATAAAGTTCATTATCAACTCCACTCCAACTTAATTGAACATATTTGGTTGATTCGAGATTATGAGTGACCTGTATTACTATTTATCATTTAATGTTCTTTTTATAAAGATTAATATTTTTGTGATTTTGCACTTTTTTAATTTTATATTATAAAATTATGTCTTAATTACTTTTCAAATATGTCAACGGAATAAAAAAATTAATATAGAAAAGTAAAAATTAATAAATTCTATTTGACTTTTTTAAAATTCTACTAGAAAGGTTTTCACGTAATACAATGATATATATCTTGATTTTAATATTTTATTTTATTCTTTATCTCAATCGATGTTATAATATGGTCTTATGTGATTTTGAAAAAAACGATGATGTTTTTATTTTTAAATAAAATATAAATTTAAATATATCATAAGAATTTGACAAAAATATATCGATGTTAGTATAAAATTAACTATTTAAAATTTCTCAATTTTTGTGTAATTTTTTAATTCAATTATTTTATCATAATTTAATTCAGGTTCAATAACGAAGTAATTTATATTTGGTTTGATAATATAATTTTATTCTAAAGATAATAATTATTTATTTTGTTAGAACTCGATAAATATCTTAATTATATTTTAGATTTTTTATATTTTAAAATGAGATGTTTATCCTCAATTTGATTATGCTTATCTGCAGTTAATTACATGAATTCAAACATAAAACTTTAATAAATTGTACTTATGCACAATTTACTTGTAATCTTAAATTTTAAGTAAAATGCATCAATAAACAGTATGTTATTCATAAAAAATGGGTTTTAAGAGTTTTTGTTAAATGTTTTATAATATAGTATATAGATTCAATAACGAAATAATTTATATTTGGTTTGATAATATAATTTTTTTTAAAGATAATAATTAATTATTTTGTTAGAACTCGATAATTATTCTAATTATATTTTAAATTTTTTATATTTTAAAATGGGATACTTATCCTCTATTTGATTATGTTTATCTGCAGTTAGATACACGAATTCAAACATAAAACTTTAATAAATTGTAGTTATGCACAATTTACTTGTAATATTGAATTTATAAGTAAAATATATCAATAAACAGTACTTTATGTATAAAAAATGAGTTTTAAGAGTTTTTATTAAATGCTTTATAATGAAGTATAGATAATGTATATGAAATTAATTTAATAATCTATAAATAAAAATCACATTTACAAAAGTGAGGTTTTTTAAGAATTTTTATTATAAAATTTTATTAATTTTTTTTATGTAGCAATAATATGGCAAAAAAAAAACGTACGTGGGTTATTAGAGATTCCACCACTGTGGATACTCTAAGTTATAAGGTTTTCTTGTCATGTCATTGTACATAGGGGTGCTCAAAAACCCAAGCAATCCGATCAACCCAACCCAATCCAACGCTAAATAACTCAATTCGAAGCAACCCGATGTTTAATCGAGTTGTAAAATTTTCAAACCGTAGGTATTGGATTACTATTATTTGAACCCAACCCGAATGAACCCGATATCGATTTATTTCTTGGATTTAATATGATTTTTGAATTTCTATTAATATATACACTATCATGTACGCTATTTATATACACATTTTCAATTTATTCACATCTTTATATAACTCATTCATATATATGTTCGGTAATTGTAAACATATATACGTAAAATGAGAAAATTATGTGATATACGTAAGAAATATAGATAAGTTGTGTCAAATGGTTGATGATGAAAAAGAAATTATGAGTAGAAAAATAACATATTCAATATTAGAATAATATTTTAATATACCAAAGTATCAACCCGACCAACCCGTACGGTTTGGGTTGGGTTGGGTTGGGTTGAGTTAAGATTTTACAAATTGCAAGCATTGAGTTGGGTTATTAAAATGTTTTCAATCCGATCAAACCAATCCATGAGCATCCCTACTTATACATATAGGATATCCATATTTAACATATTAATGATGTGACGTTTTTTTATTATACTTTAAAATATTTAGCTTTACATATTATTTAATATGTATAATAAATTAATTAAAATTTTCTATATTAATCATTAATATAACAATATTAAGAATATTTGTTATAATACAATCTATGTT